CCGGCTGGCTTTCCATGTTTAAAATCCTTGTCTATACTTTTTTCAGGGTATTCCTTAGATTAATCGATAAGTTCTAAAGGGGTATCCTAAAATGTTTTGTTGTGTAAGTATTCCTTGTGTCAGTTTTAAGGAGTACAGGTGGTCTTCTATTATAGATTGAAAACCTGCCTCAGGTTTATTGCATTGTCGAAGCTTCGAACTTATATAACGCGAAAGTAAGTACAAGTATTAACATGTTTGCAAGACTGACCAGGCGATTTTTTCGTGTTTGGAAACCCAGGGGCAAGTTCCAATCGCAGTTTAAGGATCAGGTCTGGCACATGAATAGTTCGTTTTGGTAAATGTATGCTGTACCTGGATTCGCCCCTAATTAATATTTCGACACTTGGATTCGATTTTCGTGTGCTCTCCTTCCTCGTAACTACCCAGGATATGCAAGACGAATCGAGCCGCCGCCGCCGCCTCTTGCAATGGATCCAGCGCTGCTGAGCCAGCAATCAGCGAAATGCCGCATTTCAAAGTGGCCGTTGCCGAGCCGAGCACGAGCTCAGGTTCGAGCCTGCGCCTCCCCGACCCGTCCAGGTCGCTGCAGCCCAGGCCCAGATCATGTCCTCCAGCTGCTTGCGGAGCTTCCAGCCGGACCGTAGACGCGCCCAGCTGGCAGAACAAGCTGAGCACAGGACAGGGTGTTGCAACGGGGTGAAGTGTGCGAGGGCCCAGCTTTGAGTCTTGGAAAGGAGATTGAGGCTTGAAGCTGCAAAAACAAAGCGGGAGCTGTCGCACCAGGAGCGAGCTGCTAGGAAACACTTGTCCTTGTCTCAGCCACAGGAAGAAGTTGGATCCCTTGCCGTTCGCTCAGGAACTGGAAGAGAAGACACTGGCTGACATAGACCGCTATCTCCAAAGAATGGAGCACTATGAGCTTGAGAAGAACTCCAGTCGTTCGGGTGGCTGCTTGGCCTGACAACTACAGTAGCGGAGTTTCACGGTCAGCCGCAGTCAACCACATCTCGCTAAAGTGGCAGTTGCTCTTCTGGGCAAAGGGCAAGGAGGTCATTGAAGCACAAAGTTATGCACAGGTAGAGGGCGCTACGAGCCTGATTTGCTACACCAGCCTCCAAAGAGAAGGAGCAGCCACCGGCAGGGATAACCCAGGTCGACGACGCCCGCTTGCGTCATTGACTCTGGAGCAGCAGCTGCAGGACTTGGTGTGACGCAGCCTGTGCTGTCGATTCATACCGCTCTTGCAAGACAGGAGCGCCAGAAGCAGTTTGCAACCATCATGGCAGCTGCTGCTTTCTGTGCCGGCGCCGTCAAGGCAATGGCTGGATTTGGTCCGATCAGCCAGGCCCGCCCCGCTGCGTTGAGACTGTATGCAACTTCGGCTGCCACGGCTGGGTTCGAGAATCGACTCCCCCTAGGCCCAGCTCGCTGCAAGAGGTCGAGCAACATTAGAGGCAGTTCGGACCTTGAACGGTGCGCCGCACAGAAGTGAAAAATTAGCAGCCGGCCCTTGAATCAGAAACCGGCAGAACCAGCGTAGTTTCCTGATGCGCATCAGAAGCTGCGCATCGGAAACCGGAACCTCCCAGCCGAAACCAGCGCACATCGGAAACTGCGCAATAGATACCGATGACATCCGACGACAACGTCAGCCTTTTGCTGCTGCGAGTGCGTCCAGAACCAACAGCATCCATGCCGAAGCGATGAGAACCTCCATGCTACGCCCAAGAGCATCCTCGTTTCCGAATCGAACCGTCTGGAATCCCCGTAACACAGTTTTCTGAATCGGCCGTGATGGTTTCCGAATCAGACGTCCTGGTCTCCGAATCAGGCGTGGTTTCTGAATCATGCGTGATCTCCAACTCAGCCGTTCTGGCTGCCGGATTGTTGTCGACCAGACGGCGCACGCTCAATGTCTAGGCCAAAGGGTGTGCTGGCTGGGAGATGTAGGACGAAGGATCCATGCGCACACGGGGCGGATCAAGGCCCGTGACATGATAACATCATCAATCCGAGGGTGGTGGCATCAAGTCTGGCCAGACGTACCCCGCCCAAATCTGCAAATGTGGTGGCTGGATGTGGCTGGAGATTGCTGGAGTGGAATCGCAAGAAGATGGAACTGCTCGGGTTGGCAATAAGAAAGGATTTGTATTATACTTTGGCCACCTTTTCTAGTCCTTGAGCAGTCTATGAGGCAATGCACAAGAAGGCACTTACCCAAGGTATTTATTTGGATGTCAGCATTATCCCCACCAGATGCTTAATTACGACTTCTTACTTGTAGCTCCCAGTTTCACCGAAAAGCCGCGGGTCTCGTCCAATCCTCTCTGCATTGGATCGCTCCAAGATGTGAGTTCCCTCACCCGGGCGGAGTTGAAATGCTGGTGCAATGAATAAAGAAGTTTGGACGAAACGATAGCAAGCGATTCGTCTTAGAGCACCATCAGATTTCCAGGATGCCGCCATGCCTTTGTTTGCGCACAGTAGCCCTGCGTGCGGGCCGAGTTTGGTCTCCCGGCAAGGTAAGACTTAAGATAATCTCTCGCGCTCCGATCCTGAGCCATTTTTCACACAGCCAGGAAACCTCACAGCTCCTCTGACCGGCCGTTACCGAGGTAAGTCGCATCCATTGCTGCATGCTTGCATATCCGAGATCTGCAGGCATGCCTATCCAGGTTCAACCGCATCAGTGTCCAAGAGAAAGGCATTGCGGCTTCTTGGTTTCTTTAGTTTCCAGCTTCGTCGCACGTTTGGTGCCATGCCAGAATGCAGGCAAGGCCTTTTGCTTGTGCTGTGGCCATCAATTTGTGGCGCACCGGGCTTACAAACAGTGGCAAGGAAGCGAGCTGTCACATGTTTGCTGCCGATGATTGCCTTCGTTCTTGTATGTTCTTGTCCTGCGGAAGAGGTTCGCACTACGCTGAAGCAGTCCGCGTTCGACTAACCTGCAAGCTGCAAGAGGCCGAAAGCTTCGATACCTTCTGAACACAGAACCCGGATGACGCGCTATTGCCGAAGATACTTGGAACAAGGCATCACCACTGTCTGAAGCATCACGGACGCCATCAAGCCCCACACGCAGCCCTTCGCGAAGGTCCTTAAAAGAGTCGCATGCCTCAGACAAATTTTTGGAGCTTTTGTTGGGCTACGACTCTGCCGGGACCCAGAGCAAAGGTCCGCCGACAGGAGCATCATGCAGATGCAGCTCCCTCTCTTAGAGAAGTCCGAGGCGCTTCCATTTATGTGGCGCTGCCAGCTCATGGAGGATATGTTCCGAGCTCGCAAGCTGCTCTTGAATCTTGTGGTGTTCGTCGCCTGTTCTGTGAATCCACAGATATCCCGGTGGCTGAGGGTCGTGAACCGACTGCGCCTCCGACGAGCCCGTGGACACGCGCGCTGTCTGCTCGCAGCACTCCGCTGCTGGCACCCCTTCCGTGCACTGCGGATGATGCGCGATGTCGTGGAAGCTCGGCTGCACAGACTCAAATCTGGCATTGCGCTTGTAGCGGCTATTAAAGGTTATGCTTCAGCGTCGCAGCAAGTACACCTGATTCACAGGGCGAAAGGACGTTCTGCTGTTGGCCGCTAGTGCCACTGTCCGGTGGCTGGTCCTGGAGGTGTCCTGGCCTCCGAGCCGAAGCGCCCTTCGCCAGTTACAGGTTCGCGTTCTGGGTCGGATCCTTCTAGGTCGGATCCCTCGTGGGCATGTGAAGATCAGATGGTCTTGCCCTGTGGCGCTTTGGGGCGCTGTACCCCGCTCGTCAACGAGTTGTGACTGTAACATAGCTCTACTCACAGGTGCTGGGGCTGTCTGGCATCTCCACGCTCAGAGTAGACGTATATGTAGACGGATAGATCCGGCATGAGTCGAGGAAGCTACACGTCACCATCACATGGGACGGCAAGAGATTGATGTTTGATGTTGCTGCTTGGGGTTCCATTTCCTGATTGGCGTCTGCCGTGGGCACCAGACTGACGGCCACCAACAAACACCTTGCTGGCACCTCGACAAGAGCCGCACCTGTCCAGCACCAGCAGCTGCCAGCTTCTGGCAATCCCGGCTCTCTGGACGGCCACGGATAAACGCCGTCCTTCCTGCGAATGCCCTTCGATTGCATCGCTGGCAGCATCGCGCCCAAGGTCTTGGCTGCCCGAACCTCATGGCGCCTGCACGGATGCAGCTCCGGGATAGTTCTGGTAGGGTGAGGTTGGTGACGCACAGCCAAGTTGCCCAGTGCGAGTCCTGTTCCGCCCGCCTTTTCCTGCCCTGACCCGTCCTCGACATGTCACCACTGTCCATGCTCGGGATCCCGTCATGCAATGGATCCGCTTGAGGCCGGTCGTCGTCCAGCATCCAGATCGACGATGATCGACGCTTTACTCCTCCATGTCGCCGTGTTTGCAGTTGCGCGGCTCCTCTGCCTCACGGATTCTCACATAAGAGATCTTGGTACGACAGCACGACCAAACTTTCCTCTGCTTGGAGAGAGGACTGAAGTGAACATAGATCTTCAACCTGGGAACAATTGATGCTGCGATCTGTGGATTGTGCGTGGTTGTTCGCAGCACTGGTTTTGTGCGCATCTTGACGAGTGAGGGCCTGTGCTCGGGCGTGCACGTGAGCGACTTTTTGCACCTGCATGCGCGGGTGAGATGGGTGGAGGTTGGGGGGGGGGCTTCCGTTGCAGGTGCAGCTCTTTACGCTCAAAAGTTTTGTGCTGTCTCTCGACTGTCATGCAAAAGGGCAGCCTTGACACCTGGTCGCACCTGAGTGGGTAGACTATGTCCGTCTAGCAGGCAAAGATCCGACGCCTACAGGATTTCCTTCGCAGCGCACTCATCCGATTGAAGGCCACGAGGGTGGCACTGAAGGCCCGGAATCCGCCTCGCCGTTCAAACAATCTTCTGCGTGAGTCGAAGGTGCAGATGCTTCAGATTGAGCGGGATCTGGTCGAAAAGGACGGGGAGTTTGCGTGTCCAACTTAGCATTTGTGTAAGTGTGGCCACGTGCTGCGAGGAGCTGGACGAGGAACCGAAAGAGGCAAAGGATTCCAAGGATCTTTGCCGGCGGATGTCGTACAAAGCCTTGGACCAGAAATCTCAAGATCAGGCCGGTACTGGGCCAGCGGTGCAGTCATGTGTTGTTGCAAGAGAATTTCAGGGGTGTAGTTCATGCGCACATCACTCTTGGATGCGCCTGCAGACCAAAGCCCTTCTTCCTGACACTTGGCGGACGCAGGCAGTAAAGTGCGATGCTTACATTGGCATGAAGACTTGACGTCAGAAGGTTAATTGGCTTCAAGTGTTTTGGATTGTAAGCTTTTCCACCTCCTTAGAAGCTCTACCCCTCTGTGATAGCAAGATGCCGGGAGCAGCGAGTCGTGCCCGTTGCTGCTTTTTCCACCGGGCTGAGTTCTTTATTGCGGCTTCGAAGACACGAGCAATTGCAGCTGCTGCAAGAATGGCGAATGGACATGGCGACTTACCACTGGGAGGCACTTGCCACATGAGCAACCAGCGACAGCGGGCGCCAGGCTCAAGGCTTTTTCTATCGAGATCTGGCCCAGGTGCAGGAATGGCGGAGAGCGCGCTCTGCATTGACCTGCCCCATCATGCCTCCTTATCCGACGCATGTGCCGAGGAGCAAGGACTGCAAGTGGAATGCACTACGTGTAAGGATGCAGAAGCTTCCGCTATGACACGGTGCTTTGACCCTGTACAGGAGCTGGCAAAGATCATTTGCGAAGCCCGGAGAAAGTGCAGCTGGGTGCATGTTTGTTGCAGGTTTGCAATCATGTACATGATGCCAGGGCTTGTCGTTTGGCTGGCGAACTTCTGGGAGAACATCTGGGAAGCAGCCACGAACGGATCTCATGTGTGGGGTGGCGGGTGGGCAGTGAGCAGCACAAAGCGACAGTTGCCGCTCAAAACGTCGTTGAAGAGCCTGGTAGGATGGTGGGCGGAGCGGCGCACATGGGCCCGTGTGGCATTTCGCAGCAACATCGGGTACTGTATGGGGCATGCAGCGATTTGGGCCGCACTCGTTGTCTGAGGCAAGACACGTTCTTGCTCGTGACAACATCGCATCGTATTCTTCGTTGCAAGAAGCATAGTCCTACTGCCTCGTCGCCCCACAGACTTGTGCCGGTCAGTTTTGGGTAGCAGCCGCTGCAAGAGGTCTCCATGACTGGGGGTTCTTGAGATGGTACTTACAAAGGAGCTGTGGGAAAGGCGCAGGCTGGGCGGTCGTACAGGCGGTCTTGCAAGCCTGGCTTCGTTCCTCATAGTGCCGAGTGCACCGCAACACAGGATTTCCAGTTTGGAATTCCACTACACGTTGAGACAGAAGCACATAGCTGACATTGAGAAACCACACACGAACCCACACACACTTGACACATCGTGTCGCAGGTCTCGAATCACACTCTCAAAGTCAGAAGAGTCAGCTTCCTGAAGTTATTAGATCTTGTCATTTCGGCCAACTGTGAAACAACAGCGTCTTTGGGGTACTTCGGGCGGCCGTTGTGCAGGTACGTCACAGGAACGTCTTCCCGTGATATCACAAGCAAACTGGAGCGTCTTCATTGGCGCAAGACTCCAGAATGCTTCTTGCGCCCCCTGCTCAATCGCGTCAGATTTACCTACCCTTCGAAACAGGGATGGACACACACAAGCCCGACCGGGCTCATTGCATCTGTTCAGTCGCATGCACAGCACTTGCAGGACAGTGGCACTCACCTTGTAATGTAAACAGTGTTTGCGCGCTGCTTTTTCACTGAATTTCATGGGAGAGTCTCATGCTCAAGAGACCTAGGAGACTGGGCTACGAAACCTCAGGAAGCGCAGTCTATGCACTAAGTGCAATTCAACTTCTGCTTCTTCCGCATCAGCATCGAAGTACATGCAACACTGAGTTGCAGTTTGGTACGCAACGCTGGCCAGTGACACAATGCTCACTCGCAAACGCTCCTGTACTAGGTCTACGACAGCTCTCATCCACCTTTTTGACGGGCTGCTCAACATGGTGCATGCCGCGGCATTGATTTGTGCAAAACGGATGGTGGTATGCAAAGACTGAAAGCCCATGGTCCACTCAACCGAAGAGGACAGTCGAAACTCCTGTCTCCCACGTCGCAGAAAAGTGTACGCCACCATGGTGTCGGTTATGGGTTGTGCCTCTTCTGGGTCATCATTTGGATCGAGACGGGTAATGAATGTGATTCTGGTTCTGATCGGCAACACGTACATCAAGATGTTGTCGAGCACGTCAGACGCAGCCCAATCCATGATGTTCGGGGTCTACACAATTTTCCGAGTGCTTGAAGCAAAACTCATGTCTGATGAGAGCAGCTCACGACAGCTCAGCACTTGCACGTCTCTGACATGTTACTCTGCACACTCCTTGCACTGCACTTGCACATACCTCGCACACCCTTGCATATCACTTGCAATCCGCTTGCACATCACTTGCAATCCGTTTGCACATCCCTTGCTCGTCACTGCTCTTGAATTAACACAGAGGTGGGCTCTTTTTATACCGTAACGACGAAATCGACTGGTTCGAGGGTTTGAGCAGTCGTAACAGGTTCTGTAAACCGAAGATGACGAAAGTTTTGTACAAGCTGGAAGGTGTGCAACCTAGGCCACCAGCCGAACTTCTCCCAGAGCTGCATCGCGACAAGGTATTTGGCAACGTTGATGGAATCGTTGATTGACAACTGGATGTGGAGAGTGATGGTCTCGTGTCCGGTTGCCCGACTGCATACACGAACCCACATCCGAAAAATGTAGTCGCGGCTCGTACTCCAAGGCAAATTGGCTTCGCGGGCCTTGCGCTTCATGTTGGACAACCTACACAATTTCACTGGATGTCAAATGCTGCAACTCAAGACGGCTCATGCAGAAACCTGAAGATGCACAGCACTGCACACGCGCACTCTTTAGTTTCTTTCACTTTCTTTGTGCAATCTCTCACTTTCGGTCAAGAAGGTACTGCACAAGTTTTAAAGTGGACGAAAAACGCTTCCTGGGGCCTTGCTTTTCTTTGGCAATGCGTTGGCCATGCTGTCTCAAGAAATCGAGAATGAACTGAGCTCTGTTGTGAATGTAGAAATCGTCACCAAGCACTCTCGTGCCTTCCATTCTGCGACGAAATTGGGTACTGGGTGCAGTACGAATCTTGATGCGCACACCGTCAGGTCCTTCATCGATCATGCGAAGTTTACGTTTCCGCGGTGGGTCCATCGGCAACATGTTGGTCTGCTCTGCAACTGACTGCTTCGGCTTTAGGACAGGAACTGATCGACCAGAGGACGAAGACGCAGACTGTCTGCCAATGGATGAAGACGCATTGATGTTCTCATGATCAAGATCAAAATCAGCTGAATCTGGATCACTGGCAAAAGGAACATCTGATGCCGCATCTACATGTTGATCACGTTCTTGGTCTGATGCTGCAAGGTCTGACGAAAAGTCGGAAGAATGCACGTCCGATACAGAGGCAGCATCGCTCTCGAAACTGGACACCGACATGATGAAAAGCTACTTGTATGGTCTGAATCTATCTCGCACTACAGGGAACCTTGAGGGCATGAAGCAGGAGCTTGCACATCACTTGCACGTCACTTGCACATCCCTTGCACATCCCTTGCACGTCACTTGCACGTCCCTTGCACATCCCTTGCAACACCCTTGCAGTGACACTGGCACACAGACGCTTGTTTGCAACTGCTCACGTTTCACTCTGAGACTTCAATTTCTGCTGGAAGCGTTGGGGGCAACTCTGTTGTTTCTTGTAGTTGAAGAGAATTAACGCAATGAGTAGTCACAGATTGAAGAGAATGCAAATCCGTCAGCAAGTTCCCCACCACTTCGTTGGTCTTCTGAAGTTTCTGAAACAGTTCTGTGGTGGCGGACATGACTTCCGCCACCTGAGCCTCAGTGTCCCTGATTTGTGTGGTGAGCACGTCGAGTTGGGCTTGTTGGATCTTCTGGACTGACAATGCTTCTTCGCGAAAATGACGGAATTCACCTCTGATTGTGATCAGCTCCTGTTGTGTGTAGGAAATCCAGCGTTGAAGAGGTGCCAACGGATCGCACGCTGAGTTGCTCGACATTAGCGCAATGGAACGAGACTTGAGCAGGGTGCTGCAACACTGTTCTGGTATGTACAACAACACGAATGAACGAGTACTCTCAGCACTGGCGTCCACTGCACATTCTTTCCTCACTTCCGCACTCGCATGCGTTACAGATACAAGTGAAATCCTGTCACATCGGGCATACTCAGCTAAGATCAGACGATTGACTGCGTCGAGATCGGCGTGATGCACGTCTTCTGGTAGGCATAGGTTTGGATCTAATCGGAGTACCTGACGCAGCTGAGGATGTAGGTGCGGCCGACGACGAAGCAGCACTGGACACCAAAGGAGGTTCAGACACACGATGCTCCAAGCTTGCTGGTGGTACCGGGGGTGGAAAGACAGGAGCACTGGCACTGGGCGGGGGGAAAAAGGGAGGGGGAAGAGGGGGAGGGAGGGGAGGAGGGGGGAGAGGGGGAGGGCCAGGGGGAGGTAGGGGGGGAGGTGCAGAACTGGACGAAGGGTTGTCGCTCCCTGCACTCGGCGTACTCCTCGTCGCTGGCAGAGAGGAAGGAGGTGCATAGGGGTGGGATCTGGACGAACGTGATCCTGAAGCTCCGCTACTGCTAGGACGTTCTTCACGTAGGTTTGCTCTATCTCTCTCATCCAAGCGACGCAACTCTTGCTGTAGCATTCTTTCTGTCCCGTCACGCACAAAAGCTGTCAACTGAAGTACAAGAGCTTGACGAAGTTGAGGTCGTGATACAAAGTTGAGCAATCTCACACGCGCTGAATGAGTGAGCGCTCTCAAGAACTCATCGATGTTAGGATCCGAAGGTGGCACCGTCGGCATGCTTGCTTACACAGATGATCTCGTCTCTTAGCCGAAAGCACTGCTCAAGCACTTGCACGAACTCGACAAAGAACGAAGCTCCACAGAATGAATGTTTGCAGCTTGGTCAGCTGCTGCAATTGCCTGAGAGACATACTTCAGTGCCGTCGAATTGACAGAGTGGGGAGGAAGACCTAACAGGCTGATCAGATAGTCCGCCGTGCTTTGCATCAAAGAGCTGGGAACCTGCAACTCAAGATTGGCCTGTATCTTTCTCGAAATCTCACATGCCGATTTCATACGGCCAGGGCTGGAACTGATCAAGTGACGTAGAGCAGTAAACATGGGGTATAATGCGACCCAATTGAAGCTAGCTGAGTACACACGTATCAGCTTCGCTTCTTCATCGCGCACTTCCAACCCACGAAGTTCAGGAATCACGAAGAAGTTTGAATCTTGCTCCCACTCAACTTCCACATGCCCTTTGAGAAGAGATCGATTCTCAAAATGCTCATACGAGTCTTGCAAGGGTCTAACTCGAAAGACGTAAGTCTGGTCCGCACTGAGCTGCCACCCTACGCGATCTGCATGAGTACCAGGAATCTGATCACAAATTGCACGAAGTCGAATGCTGTTAGGATCTGCAACGAGAGAAACTCCGCTTCCATGAACTTGCCGAAGTCGCTTTGTTGGCTGGGATGAATCATCCGTTTGGTACGTGATGGCTGACTGCTGGCTCTGACCAGATGCTGTTGACTGATTCTGTTGAGAAATAACAGACTGCTGAATGTCAAGCAAATTGTTAAGGCCAGCATACACATCTCTGTGGCCTCGGACATGTGTCAAGTTTGCCGACATGATCGCTGAGTATTCAGCGAAATCAGCCACCGAGCGAAACGACAACCGGAAACCTGCGCCGTCTGCATGAAGAGTGATTGCAGGGGGAACCTCTTGCTGTGGAACCTGCCGATCATTTACAGCACGTGCAGCAATCAAGGTAGGAGTTACATCTGTAGTTCCCGCACCAACATTGGATGCAGAAGGGACCGGCAAAGAAGAAGATGAAGCAGGCGCCGGGCAAACTGCAAGAGTGGGGGGTGGGGTGAAACCATAAACCTCTAAAGGGGTAGCTCTAACAGG